TCATCAGTCTGTATCTTTTCCCTTATCTTGTTTACTCACTCATCTCTCCTAGTTCGCTCCTACACAGTCATGTTTATTGTGCAATAATTGTCCTCTTTGCTTATTTTTTAGGTCCAGCCTTGGTGAAATGATTTTGGGGATTGTTTTCTTTACAGATCATGACTCTGAATCTAGCTTTTGTCTACTGATACTTAGCTGGCAGGCTGAGACTAAAAATATTTTTATTGTTGTTTCCAGATAATATTTTTAGTAAAATTATAAAGATGAGATAATATAAAATGAAACAATCAGGAAGATGAACATCTACCCAGTGCCTCAAGCAGAGAAGAAATACTTCCTACCTTTTGGTTTTCTCTGGAGAGTTCATTTGTGGGTTTTTGTGGAGCTTATTTGCAGCTTCCCTGGTGGCTCAGTGGTAGAGTCTGCCTGCCAGCGCAGGAGATGCGGGTTCCATCCCTGGGTGAGGAAGATCCCCTGGAGGAGGGCATGGCAACCCACTCCAGTATTCTTGCCTGGAGATGGAGGAGCCTGGCAGGCTTACAGCCCATGAGGTTGCAGAAAGTCCAGTGTAACTTAGAGACTGAACAACAATTTGCAGATTATTTGTATTTTAAAGAAAAATATTTAGAAGACTGTGACAAGTAAAATAGAACTGAATTAGACTGAGGAGTTATGAGAAGGTATCTGTTTGATTTTCCTGTTTCCCAAGATCATGGAAGGTGAAAGTCAGCTGGGCTGCCTCCATTTCCACCACTCTCACCCCTTCCCCAACCACTGGAAGCAGCAAGGCCCATGATGCCTTCTGTTCATGTGTCATCTCACCCAGAGGAGATGAGCGAAGTAATGGTGAGTTGTTAACATTTGTGTTCCCCATCCTTGTGTTCCCCTCCCCACTCCCACCCCCAGCAAAAGCAGCAGGTCCTATGATCAGGAGGGTTAGTTCTGAAATCCCCCCAGCCTCCTCCCCCACTTGACCGGAGAAGTAGATGAAAACACTACTATAGACGCACTCGTTGGAGAGGGGGACTTTTCTGGGTGATCCTGACAATGCCAGGCCCTGAACTGGGGTGAGAAATGCAAAAGGAATCTGACGGAGAACGCTCAAGCAACTTGTAGTCTCATTTGACAGAAAAGACCTATTTTTAGAGAATGTGGAGAGAGCATTATAAAAGCGGGAGAGAGCACAAAAGGTGCACTTCTGAAATTCTAGTAGCACTCTCCCGTACACGTAACAGGGCAGGCTCTTAGGTAATTAGAAACTGGCCTTCATCTGGCATTTTCTCCTTTTCCAGCACTTGGAATGGAGTGTCCCTTCCTCCTCAGGGAGCCTCTTTTTGAGGTCATCAGAGACAATTGGGTACCTACTACTTGGAATTCTGTCAGAGGAACAAAAGAACCTTTAGAACAAAGATAACACTCCTAAAGTGTGAAGTTAATATTTAGCCTTGAGGAGACAGGAGCTTATACTCAGAATTAAAAACTGTCTTGTGTTGCAGAAACTACTGCTGCTTCTGGCCAAGCGGATGGAGGACATGAACCCCTGAAGAGCATGTTTTTCAAGGTATCAGGGCATTAGGGAGAAATGATTGTAATCGCAGAATAACTTAAGCAAGATCAGCTCTATCCTACTTAGCAGTTACAGTGTCCCCTGGGGATGCTCCCAAGCATATTAGCCCTGCCTTGAATTGTCTCTCGGGGAGTGAGTGCATCTGGAACCTCCTTGAGGGCCCTACACCGGAGATGGCTCACAGTGTCTGTCCCAAGCCCCATCTCCCCGTGCTGTCTCTCCGCGCCAACCAGGTTAGCTGATGGAAAGCACTTCTTTCGTCCTGAGCTCCAAGGTAACTCAGCTGATATCACAGGGCCCTGCAGCTCAGTCAGCAACATTTGTCCATTTGTCTGGGCTGGAGTTCATGAACTCAGCTTTCCCAATCTATGGGAAAGGCACAGCCAACAAGGACACAGTCAGTTTTGGAAATGGGGTCTTTTATTTATTCACCAAATGTTGATTGAACACGTACAGGGCACCAGGACCTGGGAAGACAATCACGGACGACCTCCCTGGTTTCACGGTCACGCCACTCCTTGTTTCTGCACAGACCGTGGGAGGGGAGGCGGCGGGAAGCCCACTCTGGCCTTGATTATGTCGGGTGGGCCTGCGCTTCCTCGGTGGTCAGTGATTTTCTCCAGTGTAGGGGGAGCGGAAGGTGTTCAGACAGGACCGTCCAGGTCAGAGTCGCTGCTGTTTCCTGTGTGGACTTTGGGAGAGCTCTCTCAGCCTGAGCGTCTTCTCCTTGACATCTAACCATCTTCCAAGTTCACTAAGCCTTTCACATCCCAACTAAGCCTCTCACGGCAGTCTTAACCTCCTGCTTCAGTTCTGTGTGTTGGAGGAGATGGAAAGCTCCTCAAAACCTTGGTCATGGGGAAATAACTTGAATCAAAATGCAGTCTCCCTGACCTCAACTACACCACTTTGAAAAACCCATCCGCCCCTCCAGACCCAGCAGAAACCCTGGCCCTGATTCCTCCAGTCAGACATGGTGCTCTCTCTGCCTCCCTCTGTGACAAGGATCAAATCCAGTCTCATGTATGTTCTGCTGCCTGACCCTTGGGACTGGCATCAACGTGAACAAATGGTGACTAAAGTTACCATTAATGGTAACTGTTAATGGGAACAAACAGCTCTCTGCTGTTCCATGCCCCACGTCAGCCCCCTGGCTATCCTGTGTCTGTTGACTCTCATAACATCTCTTTGATCCGTGGCTTCTTCATCTGTGAAATGGGATTAACACTTACCAGTTGAAGAGTTATGAAGATTCAGTTCAGTTCAGTTCAGTCACTCAGTCATGTCAGATTCTTCGCAACCCCATGAACCACAGCACACCAAGCCTCCCTGTCCATCACCAACTCCCGGGGTCTACCCAAACCGATGTCCATTGAGTCGATGATGCCATCCAGCCATCTCATCCTCTGTCGTCCCCTTCTCCTCCTGCCCTCAATCTTTTCCAGCATCAGGGTCTTTTCAAATGAGTCAGTTCTTCGCATCAGGTGGCCAAAGTATTGGGAGTTTCAGCTTCAACATCAGTCCTTCCAATGAACACCCAGGACTGATCTCCTTTAGGATGGACTGGTTGGATCTCCTTGCACTCCAAGGGATTCTCAAGAGTCTTCTCAACACCACAGTTCAAAAGCATCAATTCTTTGGCACTCAGCCTTCTTTATAGTCCAATTCTCACATCCATACATGACCACTGGAAAAACCATAGTCTTGACTAGACAGACCTTTGCTGGCAAAGTAATGTCTCTGCTTTTTAATATGCTGTCTAGGTTGGTCATAACTTTCCTTCCAAGGAATAAGTGTCTTTTAATTTCATGGCTGCAGTCACCATCTGCAGTGATTTTGGAGCCCAGAAAAATAAAGTCAGCCACTGTTTCCACTGTTTCCCCATCTATTTCCCATGAAGTGATGGGACCAGATGCCATGATCTTAGTTTTCTGAATGTTGAGCTTTAAGCCAACTTTTTCACTCTCCTCTTTCACTTTCATCAAGAGGCTCTTTAGTTCTTCACTTTCTGCCGTAAGGGTGGTGTCATCTGCATATCTGAGGTCTCATAACATCTCTTTGAGCCATGGCTTCTTCATCTGTGAAATGGGATTAATACTTACCAGTTGAAGAGTTATGAAGATTAACGGTAATAAATAATACAGGGACAAAACCAGCTGCTGGAAAGCCCACCAAACATTGGTTGGCTTCAGCGTTTATGACGGAGTGGCCAGTGTTGCCTGGTGGCCCTGAGAATACCAGGAAAAGAAATGTCAGCCTTATTAAAAACAGGTTTCAAAACATTTCTGCCTTAAAGAAAGATGATAAGGACTTAAAGGGACTAAAATTTCTCAGACTCAAGATGAATTTATGCTTTTCATGTGGGAGGATATGAAGACATTTACACCTGTCAGTCTTCTCTATCAACACAAACCTTAAGCCCCTGGGAGAGGGAAAAAATTGGAGATGTGTCTCTGGCTTCTCTGTCATTCTGACTTATTTAGCAAGTGCAAAATAAATGGGCTTATATCCAGAGTTAGTCCTTGCCATCCAACTATTGGGCATAAGCCCCATAGTTCACCAGATACTTCCCACCTGACTGATTACTTGACCCAGACTTCCCTACTCACAAGGTTTTCGAGAGTTTATCATCACCCACAAACATGCAACATGAAGCTAGGAGATTTATGGATAAAATAGCAGGAAGATGTTTAGGTTGGATATAAAGAAGAACTTGATGCACTGTGAAAATAATTAAATACTAAAAGAAGAGAGTGTTTGGACTATCCTGTCCAGCCAACAGCCTCACTGGAGACAGGGGGATGGACTGTCTGACCTTTTGGTCCCACACTATCAGTGGGATCTCTCGCAAGTGGCAGACTCCCCGGGGGCGCGAAGGTTCTGCGTGGGGGGCCTGGGGTGTGGCCCAACTTCCCACCAATCACATGCCCTCCAGACAGAAGGCTCAGGCATGGCTGCAGATATAAATAACCCTCTCATCACTCTTTCTGTCCTTTGAGCAAATGCCTCTGGCCACTGGCCAGCATGGGATCAAGGGAACAGAGCAGGAGAAGTGGGAGGAAGTTGGGGGAGAGGATGGGGACGGGGCGGGCTTGACAGAGGAGAGGAGAGGGATGGTAAAGAGGCTCTGTTTTCTCTCACCTCATCAGTGTGTCTGTGTGTGTTGGTGTGAGATGTGTGTCCAGGCGGGAAGAGCAGAGGGAGACTGTGCTTCACGGTGTCCCCTCCCTCCTGTTTTCCATTACCATTGTCCTAGTTCACAGCCTCCTTATATCTTCCTGGAACATCGCTCTCACTTCCTGTTCTGCCTGCTGCCAGGGTCTGCCTCCACTGAGTCATCCTTACTTCCCCCTGCTGCTCGGTTCAGCCATCTGCTCCAAAATCTTTATCCCCACGGGGTTCCCTAGTAGCCCAGGTTCTTCGGGCTTTGGGGTCAGTCTCTAGGTTGTGTCCAACTCTTTGCAAACCCATAGACTGTAGCCCACCAGGCTCCTCTGTCCGTGGGATTCTCCAGGCAAGAATTCCGGAGTGGGTTGCCATTTCCTCCTCCAGGGGATCTTCTCCACCCCGGGATCGAACCCACATCTTTTTCTTGGCAGACAGATTCTTTACCCCTGAGCCACCAGGGAAGCCCCTCAATATATCTGAAAAGACTCCAGGCCTCACCTCTTGCCACACTTCCATGTATATTCCAGCCTGTAATAAAATTAGCTTCCTGGGCCTCCCACGAGCTCGGTTTGCAGACTGTCACCATCATGACTTTGTTCATACTTTCCCACCACCTGAATACCCTTCTCCATCACTGACACCCCTGTCCGTCCCTGCATGTGCTGCCTCTTCAGCCAGGCACAGGTCTCCCCCATGTCCTGTATTGTGTTCAGTCTTGTGTGGAGCAGTTGGGCTTCCTAGCCCTCCAGGCTGGCACAAAGGTGGACAGATTGGGGCCAATGTGACCGTGACCTGCTGATGAGGACAAGCAGCTCCCTCCGCGGTCCCACCCCTCATGACTACCCTCCGGCCTCTAGCCCTGGTTAACACCCCTGCGTGGGGCAATCCTGACTACTACGCTGCTGACTCAGTGTTCCCCCCAGAGACAAGGGATGTAGGCAAGAGCAGTGTCAAGGCAGGAGCACAACCCACTGGCGTTGCAGGGGCCCAGTGGGGGCTTGGAGTGCAGCTCAGGCTCTGATCTGAGGCAAGGGGGACGGAACCAGAGCCTAGACTCACTGGAAAGAAAACAACAAAAAAAGGACCACCCATCTGTCTTTAGACACCTCCACTCTCCTCCAGCACCAGCCTTCTGTTGATCAGAGTTTGGAATATGTTATTGCTCTGGGGGATTTGGGTTCCACTGTTGCCAGCCAACTTCTTCCACCTTCTTCCCTCTGCCTTTCTCTTCGCGGTCTGATTGAGTACCTGTTGTATGCAAAGCACCGCAGCAGGGAGCATCCGGCTCTAAGGAAGCTTCGGTCGGCGGTGGTCACGTGCGTCAGCTTGGTCCTTGCCTGTGCACGGGGCCAAGGTGCTGAGAGGCCACGGTCCACTGAGGTGAGACCTGAGCAGTCCTCCACACTGTTCTTCTCATAGACTGAGCTCGTGTGTAAAGAGCTGCCCGAGAGAAAGACCCTTTGTGGCGCAGGGGGCAACGGAAGATGCCGTGGAAGACACAGGCCAGGAGAGGAAGCGGGGCGGCCGTGGATTCTCACCGCTCCGATCCAGCCTGACTCCAGAGCCAGCGGCAGGCAGATCCGTCTTGCCGAGTTCCTCGCTGGTGCTTTCACTCCTCTGCGGGTCACCTACTAGGTTTCTGCCAGCTCCTGTTTTCCTGTGGCCTCCCACCCTGGTCTGCTTTCACCTACAGCTTCTACCCCGTGAGCTTTGGACCACAGACTCCCTTCGGATGGCTGGACCTGTGATAAGTAACCTTGGGAGTCATCCAAGACTGTGGGTTTTTTTTTTTTGCTATATGTACCAACAGTAAAAAAAGAACAGCCCAGCTGAGTTCCTGCCCAATGTTCCCTGAGCTGCCCTTACATTCTTATAATACAGTGAAATATTCATCTTTGTGCTTTTCTTTTGGACATTTCCCAATGTTCAGAGGGATCTGTAGTGCCCTAAGGAGAAGTGGAGGGTTAAAGCGATATGCCAAGACAAAACAAAACAACCCTATGTTCAGTTTTTTAACATCTGAAATGAGATACTGAGAATAAAAAGTGATAGCATTTTGGCTATAAAAATAGAAGGGAGAAAGAACAGTGAGATAACCACAGCTGCTGCTGTTGACCTTCTTATTGTTCCCTGAACCCCGAGGCATTTCACACCTCCCGGCTGTTGTCAGTGCTTGGCATTCAGGGTGCGATGCTATTTTCCCCGCAAGCTCAGTCCACCTCTGAAGAGTTATCCGGGTCAAAAGTCTTCATTTCCAAGAAGCTTTCCCTGAACCTCCCACAGGGCTGAGTGCTACCCTATCCTCCTTCTGGTCTACTCTCTGCTTACTTATACATACCTCCCTGCTTACATAGCTGCCCTCTCTTCTGTCTTGACGGGCAGCAGCTAGCAGGAGTACTGGGAGTTTATCTTCGCGTGACTGCCGTCCAACATGGTGCCCGGCACATAGTCGGCAGTCACCCAAGCTGAATTACTTAGTGCAGAATTCAGTTTCTAACGACGTAGCCTTACCATAGCTTCTGGTCCTAGGAGCCTAGCCACTGACAGCTAATCACAAATTCAGACAAAACCAATGCTGGACATTTCTGGTCCTCAACTGAATAACTCAGCAGCTTAGGTGACCCTAAGTGATAATGCAAAGGAACCAGCACTCTGGCAGCCTAAGAATTCTGCTGCCACCGTCACGGGGATGCCCTTCCTAGACGAGTGGCCTCACCTAGACCCTGCAGCCTCCGAGGAGCAGTCAGACCTGGGCTGGGCTCCTCTGTGACCAAGATGAAGCTTTATTGTCGCTGCCTCTGGTCTCCGGTGTCTCTGTCTGTTGTGTGGTTGTGGGTCCTAATTAGAAAGCTTTTAGAGGTTCCTGGAAGGACTGTTACTGTGCAGCAGCACAAAGGGTATTATGTCACAGCGGTAGAAGAGCTCGGCAAGGAATAATAAGGGCACTTATTCCCAGAAGCACATTGATTTAAACCACAAAAGCTCCTTGGAACAGGGCTTGAGGATTGTAAAAAGCCTGAGCAATCAACCACCCCTGTGGGAGGGGAGCGTATGCCAAGCTACCACTGGAGAGTTCATTTGGTCACAGTTGGCTGGCCGGCTCTGTCCCTCAGGTGTTCTCACTTGGGTGAAATTCCCCTGCTGGAAGGAGCCCAGCCCATTTGCGGGTTCCGGGGGAAAGTGGCCATTAACTTCCACGCCCCTGGCATAAGAAGTGAAGACTTGGCCTGAGCACAGCTCAGTCTACTTTTTCTCCTCTGTAGGATGAGGACAGGTCTCCAGGCAATGGAAACGTCATCAGCACCTTTGCTTCTACAATCTGTACAGCAGAAAAGTCACCTGGGCCACACCTGGACCCGCCGTTGCTGCTTCTGGTCAGCAACTTGGGCAAAACAGCCAGACGCCCTGTGTCTATGAAAAACAAACTCACCTTAGCAAGCTGTTCACTCTGGAGTGGAAAGCTATGCTTAAACATGGCTCTGACAGCAGGAAGGGAGAATCTACCAAAAAAAACCCAAAAACCAACCAGAATGATGGCTCCCGCCCGGAAGAGATAGGCCCCTGGGCTGGTGGCTCCAGGGTTTCCACTCAGGAAGGTCAGAGTGTCCCTGATGGTTGAAAGGTGTGGGCGTGGGAACCTGCTTGCTGTGTTTGCACAAGACTTTAACTGAACTGGGAAACCTTAGCTATTCGTGAGAAAGGAAGAGGTGAATGTGTGCAGGCAGGGGTGCTGGTGGAGGTGAAGAGAGGGTGGGTGAAGCCCCCAACCCTGCTCTGGAAGTCAGCACTAGGCATGGGTAAAGATGCATCCTGTATATACATGAAAGAAGCATTTAAACATGGGAGCAGGCGTCTGGGAACTTGGCCTCCGGGGCCGGCTTTGCTCCTAACTGACCAGGACAGACCATTTTCCAGTTTAGCCCATGGTGCTCCAGGAGGTTCTGAAGACCAATCTAGGACAGATGTGATGTGTAGAAAAACCAAAAAATCCTTGTCAAAGCAACTTCAAGTAAAGACCGCTGCTCACCTGATTTACCGGTCAGGACACCTGCCCTTGATTTTAATGGCCTGGCAGAATCCAACCAGCTCAAATACCCAGAGGAGTTATATACCTGGGAAATGTATGTGGGCAACAAAAGGCAGAGGTGAGAATAACCAAATCTGTGTGACTGAAAGAAACCTGCATTGTTAACTCATCAATTTACCTAACCAACTACTGACGTGATGTGATGTGACATGACACATGATATGGGATGGTAGGTGATAAAATATGATGGTTGGCTTCCAATTTCCTTCTTCTTTTTTAAAAAAATAATACTTTCAATTCTTTAAAAATTTTTAAAATTAATTTATTTTTATTTGACTGCCTTGGGTCTTAATTGTGGCCTGCAGATCTTTAGTTGCAGCACATGAACTCTTAGTTGCAGCATGTGGTTCCCTGACCAAGGGTTGAACCTGGGCCCCCTGCATTGGGAGTGCAGAGTCTTAGCCCCTGGACCACCAGGGTCCAGTGCTCCTTCTGACTAGAAAATTAGAAAAGCCACTTAATCAAACATGACTGAGAGATGAGTAGAGAGGTATAGGATTATACATGGGAAAAGAACAGAGGTCAGAGTATGCCCCAGAGTGTCTGGCATCCCCAATCTGCCACTTACTCGTTGTGCAACTCAAGGCACATTACTGGAGATTCGGTTCAGTTCAGTTCAGTCACTCAGTCGTGTCCGACTCTTTGCGACCCCATGAATCGCAGCACGCCAGGCCTCCCTGTCCATTACAAACTCCCGGAGTTTACTCAAACTCATGCCCATCGAGTCAGTGATGCCATCCAGCCATCTCATCCTCCGTCGTCCCCTTCCCCTCCTGCCCCCAATCCCTCCCAGCATCAGGGTCTTTTCCAATGAGTTAACTCTTTGCATGAGGTGGACAAAGTATTGGAGTTTCAGCTTCAACATCAGTCCTTCCAATGAACACCCAGGACTGATCTCCTTTAGGATGAACTGGTTGGATCTCCTTCCAGTCCAAGGGACTCTCAAAAGTCTTCTCCAACACTACAGTTCAAAAGCATCAATTTTTCTGTGCTCAGCTTTCTTCACAGTCCAACTCTCACATCCATACATGACCACTGGAAACATTACTGGAGATTACTGGGTCTCAGTTCCTTCATTTGTAAATTGGAGAAAACACAACGACCTCACAGAGTTGCTGTGAGGTTTAAATGTCAACACAGAGAAAGTATGGAGCACTTAGTAGATACCCAGTATCAGCTTGATTGATTCTTGTTTGCAATATATCCTTCCTCTTGCATGTCCCCAGTTCTCTCAATCCTCCCCACTATCCATGTCCTTTGTCAAACAGGGCAGCAGGGTCCTTTTAAAAATTTAGTATGCCTGGGACTTCCCTGGCAGTCCAGTTGTTTAGACTCTGCCCTTCCAATGCAGGAGGCACAAGTTTGATCCTTGATCAGGGAACTAGGATTTCACACACTGTTTTGTAAGGTGTGACCAAAAAATGAAAGAAAAGAATAAATAAATGAAATTCCAGTTTTTAAAAAAACACCCAAAGACACATCATAATTAAAAACAATTTAGGGTGCCTAACTCT